AGTGATCTTTAAAAAAAAGCCCAGTTTTTAAACAAATCATACCATTAACAAACAAAAACAAGAGAAGATTGTCCTTTATAAAATGCTGATATGAATCATTTTACATGTTTCTCAAGCCTTCCCAGATCCCTTGCTTCACTTGAGACAATTTGCCAAATTCAACTCACTTCCACAAACCACTTCAGTTCTTTTAAAACTGCGTTTCTGGAGCAAAAAAAAGATACCGTTTGTCCAAAACATTTCATCCCAACAGAGCTTTCATTGAAATATGGACCCTGACACTCTTTATGGTGAATTTGGCAGTCCAGCGTCCTTTCTGTCCAACAAATTGCCTTGTTAACCCCTCACATAATCAAGCAGTAAAGATTGTGTTTACTTCAAAAATATCATACCTGACAGTGAAACAGTAAAGGATTAGAATCAGCGTGTGCCCTCTTCTCCCCATTCAGACAAATTCTTGCAGTCCCTACGATCAAGCTAGAGGATATTGTAGTGATGACAGTTCAGAACATTTCAGCCAATTCATGGCTTTAATTTACTGAAGGTTGGGTTGATACTGTCATGGTTAACCAACTGAAGGCAACACAGAAATGGCAAGGAACGGGAAGACTTTGTGGGTCATGCAACAAAGCCTTTAGAGAACGGTCAGGGTATTTCAACTGCCTTGTCATGGCGTTTCTGGGATACCTCAGCGAAGAGCTGCCCAGACTAAGAAAAACACCCCTTTTGGTGCCAGTATAGGGTTTCATCTCTGGAAGGTGAGGCTGACAAATTGGAACTAATCTAAGACAGTGTGGTACAGTCATCTTGCCTGCAGGGACACATTTCATCATTCAGCTGCAGAATGCCAGTTTAAGAACAAGCTCTCGATAAAGGAAAGTTCAGGCCAAGCCTGGGGATGCACGACTTTTAAATCAAGAACACGTTTTTTTCTTAGTCTAACTCTACTTCCCTGGGGACAGTAATAGGTTCAGAAGATGATAATGCTATACCGCAAACAGAGAGAGAGAAGTCAAGAAATCTCCCTTCCCAGCACTAGTTTTCCTTTATTTCCTAAAACTGTTTCACAGTTTAATCCGTCAGAGAGGGTGAGATTAGTGTTATGGAGAAACTCATAAATATTTTTATTTTTTGCCACGTTCTTCCACAAAGCTAAAGATAAAGTCAAGCACCATCTCCGGCAAAAAGGGTCTTTCAATTCAGGTGGGAACTGAGGACAAGTTACCAGCCAGAACAGAGGGCAAGTTATGCTGAACACCCACTATTTTGGCAATTTAATTACCAAGTCCACGTGGCATAACATTTCTACACACTGTAACTGCAAAGCTGGTTACAATTAGAAGTACACTATTCTCAGGCTTTAAAGACTTCCAGAAACGGATGGAGCCTGTCTTCCTGTTTTGAGAGAGAGATCTTACATCCTCGACCACAGTAAACAGCAGGTACCTATCATTACCCTGTATGTTAGAAAGAGCAGAGTATAGTCATGTGGCAAGAACAGAACTGTGGAGGGTTTTTTTTTTTTCACTGAAGAGTGTAGTGTAGTAGTCATCTTCACAGAAGGGTATGATGTTAGCAAACCAGCAAACAACAGCTAGCACTGCAAGCAGGCACAATCCCAATTAGCCATTCAGTACTTTGGCTTGCAGGTGAATTTGCACTCTGAGGGCTCCACTTCTCTGTGCCTAACTCCTCCGACACTTGTACCCAGTCGAATCTGACCTATTGTAGTGTGGTTTGCCCATGACTTCATTTCTCAGCTCTTTTCAGAAAGAAACAGGTGACAGTAAAAATTAAACATTCCGATTTCTAAACCGTCAGTCAGAAATTTAACTGGAAATAAAGTCTAGTAGAGGTAGTGTCGTGGGTTAGGCCGCTCCGGCAACCAAACCCCCCAGCTAAACTCTGTCCCAGCTAAAACCAGGACAGGTAGTTTCACCAACTCTCTTGATTTATGCACATAAGTAATAGCTCTTAAGAGATAGAACCAGCTCACTTACTATTAAGATTTATGCTCTAAGATGACAAGCAAATTGCAACATTTATCCATTTATTTTTAAAAAACTTTTAAAAATTGTGTATAGACCTTCCAAACATTCAAAATTAGACAAGATATTTAATCATCCCTTTAAGTCACATAAGGCACCTTGTCTCTTCATTCCTAACTGTATCGGTCCACAAACACACTTGTTAAACTCTTTCATACACTTGAATAAATCAGTAAAGTTTAGCAACCTGTTTCCATGTATCCTGATGCATGGGGCATTGACGTTCATTTCCATGACCATTTCATTTAGAGCTGACTGAATGCACATGCAACAAATAACCAACCTTCCTCATATAATGTGTCTGTGCTGTGAGCCCTTATAGTTTATAGCTGCGATATTAAACTCTCTTGTTGCTGGTTATGAACAATTCACCACCAGAAAGTCCCTTTAGAGTCACAATCCATTTGGTCTGTTCTCTTGAGAATGAGCAACAGTTTTTAGATAACAGACAATTCTTGGCATTGTTGTTGCAGTTTTGGCTTGAACTACTAAACCTCAGTTCACGAGCACTCAGAACAAAGGAACCAGGATTTTGGTGAAGAACACAGGACCTACACCCTCAATGAAAGTCCTGCATCCCTAAAAACAACAATGAAGAAAATCTCATTCGTCACCTGTTACCATAGTATCCTGGGTAAATGAGTGGTTAGCTCCTGTTTTGATCACAGGAGAACTAGTATATCCCGTCCCTTCTACAAAAACTGCTGACATACTCGGGCTTTTAATGGTGCCCACTGCGCCTGAGATTTCAGAGGACAGTGAAGTGCATCCGACAGTATACTTTGCCAATTGTACAAAGCTGTGTACTGGTGGGGGCAAAAAAAAAAATCTCTCACACACTGGCAGGAGATCAATTTACAAACTCAAGCATGAGGTTTAATTACCCATTTCATTATCCTAGCTTGCATAGCGCTGAATGTGAACCTTCAATGAACCAAAGAAACAGTCACTAGCTGCTGCTTTGAGAAAGGGAGATAACAGGAAGTAGAAGTTCAAATGCCTAAAACTGCTCTTGCTGCATATGCCACCATATCTTTGCAAAAGCGGAGGGATCGTCCCCAGCGAATAGATCTGTGTTATACCATGCTACATGGAAGACTTCTGAAAGTCCTATTTATGTGCTAATCTGAAAAGAGACCAAAAGAGATGAAACAGACTTATCTAGCCAATCGCAGAGAAGCTTCAGAGTTAAATTTTCAAATACCAGCAATTGATCCTTGGAGATTTTTTTAAAAATTCACCCAGTAAATTCAAGCAAATAAATTGTGATGTGCTTGTGGATTTTGTACGAGCAGGAAATAAAGTGTTTGCTGTAAATTATTCACTCAGCACTAGTTAACTACAATACCGGCACATTACTAGGTTTTTTAATATTCTTCTCAAGATAATAGGTAGCATTTTGCTTATTACTCTCATTTTTAAGTTATTAGTTACATTAGGTCTTTTGTAAATAAAGTGAAGACTTGCAAGAAATCAAATGCTTTCCAAACTACCTCATTAAAAGACTCTTTAGTTCAGGAGGGTTGAAAATTCTGCATATCACGAAAAGCTGAAACAATAGCATACCATCAGGCTCAGCAATTCCAAATGAATTCGCATGCCCTTTCATACTATCTGGGATCCCAAACGGCTTTTCAAGCTATGAGCTACATGTGTGTCAGTAAAGCTGCATGCCTCTCAAAAAGTACAAATAGTAGTGCAGGGGCAAAACTTACAGGGCAAGTGAATTCATGGGGGGAAATGAAACCTACTTAACTGCGACTAGAGTTGCCGATGTGCAGGGCAGCTGGAACAGAGTATCAGATTCTAGAGCCATTTTAGGGCTTTAATCCTGCAAGGTGACTTAACCATTAGGATAAATTCCTGGCGCTGTCAGACGCCACTGCTGCAACATCGCTCTCTAGTTCTGGATTTGCCAAGAGTTGAAGGAGTATCAGTGCAGCTGGAAGACGACCACGTGTCCTTGGAAGTTTCACTTATAAAACGTGTATAAGCACTGTTGAAATCACCGATGCAATTCCCTGCTATTTCGGTTTAGTAAGTAGCAAAGCACAGGAGGGCTAAGAAGCACATATCAAAACAAAGATTAGAGCCAGCAACACCATTTTCCGCAACTTCTGGCTTCTTCCTCAGTGGTCTCCTCATCCACACAATAAACCAGTCTTATTCTGCTTAGCAATGCAATACTTAATTAGATCAAAGCTCGAGTTAGCCTGGCTACAGAGTGTATCATGTTATTTAGTCTTGCGCTGTAAGCAAAACCACATACAGTATATTACATTTCTCAGGGGCTTCTCCAGAGAACTGTGTGGCACATGTAATTGCCCCCACAAACAAATCATCAACTAATCAACTGCTTTTCATTATCACCTCCAGCAGCACATTTATTTTGTAAATAAATGCATTAAGAGCAAACAGTTTTAGGAAAAACAAAAGATTATCTGAATACGTTCTCCAAAGAGGAGGTGGTAAAGCAGTAATTCAAATACTAAAATGAAGCAAAATTAGCATAGGGTGGAATGATTATTCCATTCCATGTATCCCTATCTATTACAGTACAATAATAGACTGAAATCTGTGACTTTAATGGATGATCTGGGTAGTTGAAGGGAACTGTGATTGACTGACACATTTACATAGAGGCTGATGAGCAGCATAATGAATGCATTTATAAAACACAGCTAAGGTCTCACTCTAAGCTAACTCTCACACCTAGAAGAGGTTTGCAGAGCAGATACCCTGCTAGCATGGAGAGTTGCTCGCTACCTTCTGAAGCAAGCAAACTTGCCATTGACCCCTCTTCCTCGATGGGAAGTTTGGGAAGCATATGGCCACGACAACCTCCAGTTTAAGAGTAATGAACTGAAATAAGCCATATAAGATTCAGTTACAAAACAGTGCAGGGTGTATAAGGTAGATAGAAAAATATGAAGGTTCATACTCACACCATACCTGTAATTTCCTAGGTATACTCCATCAGGATTGAGCATGGGTGCAATCTTGAAGACCAGGTGGTCTCTCAGTACTTTCGCAACAGGATGCTGGCTCACAAGGAAATCAATTATACCTGAGAAAAACGAAAGAAGAGTTTGAAGAGGGGAGTTTGTGACATCAATGACTTCCAGGTATCTATCTGAAATTTCACATATAAAAGATTAGGAATGATCATTCCTCTTGGTTCCTGGCACTGCTCCTGCTTCCAACAGAATCAACTGCTTGCAATCATGTAGTGCCTGCCACCTTCTAAAAACTCCAGAAATAAGAACTTTAAGGATAAATACCTTAGTCCATCCCCATAATACAGGGACAATATGGCTACATTACCAGACACTGTCAAGCTTCTACAGAGGGAGAAGTTACTGCTCATCAGCTGAGCCACAATAACAAAACATTTGTCCTCCTAAATGGTGAGATGAAGTAAAACCTACTTGTTTAAGCATAGCGCCTTATATACCCAGCATGCATACATGGGCACATACTACAGCTCAGCTCACGAGTGGCAATTTGTTGAGCTGAGGCACCCCAAATTTGTTTGAACATATGCCCAGACCTACCTTTGGCATGAACGCAGACTTCAGATCATTTGCATGTATAAAGAGATATAAAATGTCTCACTAAAACTGAGAGTGTTATATTAAACTCTAACAGGCACAGGAAAAGTGCAGGACTGATATACTGGAATTTGTAAGGCCGAATTCTTCATTTTATACCCATAAAAACCAGGAGTAACTCCCTCTTATCAGTGAAGATCCTTTAACATGGAACCAAGACAAGTGACGGAGGAACCAGATCCTAAATGCCCTTCCTTCAGGCACAGTCACAGCAGTGGACCCTGCAGGAGCTCTGGCCTCTGGGCCTTGTGCTCAGGGAGTGACTAAACATCTCCTTGCTCCAAGGCAGGAGGCAGACAGTCTGGCAGTTAAATTCATTGCTCATTCCTCCACTGAGTTGGTATCAACAGAAATAGCTTCCAGGGAATGAATGTCGAGATAAATTGAGTTCCTGTGTAATCTCAGGACACCCACAGACAGGTCATGACAATTTGCTATTTATTGTAAGGTCCATCCTGTGAAGCAGGAACCATTTACTGAATTTCCCCAGAATAAATCAATCACTACGCTCTAGTAACAGGAAAAAATTAAGCAGAGAAAAATTAAGACTGATCATCAGTAAAATTTCACTAATGGCAAGCTCTATTAGACTGTAGAATTGTCTCTCCAGGGGAAGAGTGGAACCCCGTCATCAGAAACGTTTAGTGCTGGACAGGGCAAAGCCCTAGGAAATAGATATAACAAGCAACAATTCAGCATAGAAGAGATAGCATGGTCTAACTAGCTGACTTCAAAAAAGCTGACTCTAGACCTGATTTTTTTTGTGATGCAATCAAAATCTTTAAAAACAAACAAACTAAAACCCAGGTACATGCCAGGTTAAACACACTTGTTTATAGCTTGACTGAAACATACATTAAAAGATGGGACCAAAATCTCACGTTCTGTGGAATTCCTACATTTAGCCTCTTTCCTAAGGTCTATTTTGTATTTCAAATACTACCAAATCTGAACCTATGCTGCTGTTGGAATGAATTCTAATTTGCTGAGGCACATGGGGAAAAATGAAGCTTCTGAAACATCTAAGACGATCGAGGTATAATTGACTCTAAACATCAGCAATTTTTTCATCTATTAGCAACTAACCCTGAAGAACAAGTCCATTTCTGTAACTAGGTCTTCCACTTGAGAAGAGACTAAACCTGAGTTTCTGAGGCAAATTAGCATATACATAATTATATTGCTCAGGAAATGTTTCTGCAATTACCTCCTCCCAACGAAGGAAACTGAACATCGATCTGCTTTTTGGCTGGTGTTGTGTCTTTTGTTCATTACACAACAGCAAGAACATGAAGAAACGACAGGGACACAGTTGGATCCTGAATAACCACGTTTCCTAACTGTATGCAAACATGAAAGGCTTAGTTGTGTTAAACTGCTGCTCTAACTGTTTTCTGGCAGTGTCTAAAACATAATCCACAGTACACACACCTGGAGGGCTCAAAACTACTTAAAGGGATACAATCCCACTCTTAGTCCGTGGCTTCTGGAGACACTATGGTGGTGTTCTTTTTAAAGAGCCTGCAACTAGACTCAAAACATCACATCAGTCTGTGTTTTCTAAAATACTTCGAAGACTTAACTATCCAGAAATCAGTATGTCCAAAACATACTTTATCCTAGGTCAGGTATGAACTTTGACAGCAGTCACAATAAATGTGGCATAAATACTGCATTGTGTACACGATCACCGCACCACCAAAGACTTTGGTGGAACTGTTTTGCCATGAGATCTGGCACTGCACCAAGCGTCTAATTGTGACAACCCTTCATGCAGCAGGGAGGACCACAAATACCTCGGGGATATCATGACTGCTTTTCTTCCGAGAAGTAACACAAGAGCCCAAACTCTGAGAGCTTTGCTCCGGCTGTAACTGCGCCAGGGAATAGGCTTGTCCAGGTTCTGCTCATTTTGCTGCTATTATTGATGCAGCCTCACTCACAAAGCTTGGCAAAGGCATCTTGGCAACTAGAAGCTACAGTTTTCAGCTTCACGCAGGGAATTATTGTTCCCTAACTGAGAACATGCTATGATGTGGAAGGCTGTGTATAAACACGTAATGGGCGACCCTCTGCTCTGCATGATTCACTGTTGCACCATGCACACCAGGCTAAAAGGAAGAGACTGACCTTGGGCACCCAGCAGCTTGGTAGCAAACGAGACCCAGCATTTCCCAAGATACCACAATCTGTTAGAGGGTAATGCAGCCAAGTTCACCCAATCCAGAGAGATTTGCTGTATTCTCTTATTTAGGAGACAGTTAATTAAATCTGAAGTCTTACCTCATGATAAAAATACACGACAAGAGTTAAAAATAACTGACTCACAGATGTCTAACCTGGAAGTAAAGGCAGTTCCAAGGAACATAAGAGAACCATCAGATGAAAGCATACATCTATGTACACAAACCTCACGATAAAATCGTTGTAAGCATCCAAATAATCAATACAATTAACAAATAGCTTTGTCTTTCAGAGGAACCCAATAGTCTCTGGATCAATAACATTTAAAGTAAAAAGATAGATATTAGACTATTAAAAAAATACCATTGCAGAGAACTTGGTCTCCTGTTAATAAATCAATACAAACTAGATTTTACAGCTTCTATAATCAGCAAGAGACATATCAGTGTATCTCATTAGGCTGGGGTTAAGAATTTGGCAGCAACCAAAGCCCATTTAATATCATTTACTTCAAGGCAGACATGGCAATACAACAGATGCCCTAATTTATTTGTTGATCTTTGTATTAAAATAACAGTTTGCTGGTAAACAGGAAGGGTAATGATGCCAGTCACCCTTGTTAGTGGCTAATAATTGCTTAATTTGTCCACTAATTGACCTGTGCTACTGTTGAAGCACTGGATCGTGTTGCAGGGCATGAAGTAAACACGGCCACTGTAATGTTACTTTAGAGAATGACTTCTGGAAATAGAACTACTTATTGCTATAAATTTTCTCTTCACAGATGAGCAGATTAATTGGTCTGCCAATTAGTCTGCTATTAAAGAAAAAAAAAGAGCTGCCCACAGATTGGTTGGATCTTCGAACCTCAGCCCCAGTTTGGGTCAAATGAAATAATCCAATCTGAATCAGTCACATCGGTTATGAAAAATAAGACAAGTATTATTTAAAAACAAATCTCTGTGGCTGGAGATCAAGGAAAATAGCCCAATAACTAAATACTCATTATTAGCTCTTCAAGTGACTTTAAAATAAAATGGATAACATGATGGAATGGGCCTACTCAGGCACATTACAGTATAGAAAAGTTCTCTAATTAACAGAAGTAAAACAATATAGATTATTTTTGTATCATCTTTTCTGGAAAGTAATTAAAATAATTATTTTTCAAATAATAACATGGAATTACAGATGCTGCCTGGAACTGAAACAGCTCAGAAATCAGCATTTAGCCATGACATAAGAGGCGGCTTATCCATAGACCACTAAAAATCAAGCAGTCTTTACATTAACATCAAGGAGCTTTTCATAGTTGTGAGGGAATGGAAAAAAGAATCAAGAAGAAGGGAAAACAAAAACTATGCTGGCAACTGTGAGTCGTTAGAGACACAGTCACAATAGCTCCAAAAATTTTAGCAGTTTTTTACCAGTCTTCTTTGGTAAACACAGCTTCACAGAAACTGTACTAAATCAGGACCAAATCTCCTCTAGTCCAAGTCACTTCTCTGTTGTTATTCTTTCTCAAGGCTAAACACACTTTCTCAGATTTCTCTTGCCTTCTGCAGCTCAGCACCTCTCACCTACTTCAACACCGGATCCTGTGGCATATCTCTGCCCACCCTAATCCAGCTCTAATTATCTACTGGTGCTTCACAAGCAAGCTGATTGTTCTCTCTCCAGCAACGTGTCAAAGAAACCTCTGCTCACATGATTTCCACTGTTCTGTCTGGGTGTTTCCTCAAGCAACTGCCTTAAACTCTGTTTGAACTTCCTGTCATCTCTGACATGACCTCTCCACATTTGCTACTTCCAAAGAAAAGCCTGTTTTATCCCATTTCTCCATTACTACATCCTTTCACTGTCAGTCTGAGAGTATGGTTAATTGTATAACTATATAATACATTTGCTCTGCTCCTATTACTGAAAATCTAATCACCACAGATCCTAATGCAATATGGCAACTGCTAATGCAAACGTATCCTGGACCGTGTCTAGTACGTGCCAAGAAGGAAGTGATTTATATTTTCAGGCCCATTTCCTAACACTGAATAGCTGCTGGTATCCCGCAGTCAGCTCACCATGGCCTGCAAGATAAAGAGAATGTAACAATTAAGCTCTAACAACAATAGGATATATTAATCGGAAAACAAATACAAGGAAGTTTTGAATGCTTATATAAAACTATTTAAACGTTCTGTTAAAGGAAAGTGAAACCCATGTGAAAGACACTGTTACACTTTTGGGGAGAGTAGGAAAGCAAAAACGTGGTGTT